GGGCAGAGGGAACAAGGCAGAGGTTGTGAGAGATCTTTCAAGCAGCTGTTTGCTGAGTGACTTCAAGGACACTTTGAAACACGCCCAGTGGACAGTCATGGATAGTGTGGTCTTCTGCCCTTTGCTGCCTCCTGGAACGATACCCCTTTGCTAAGTGAAGGCAGTTTGGCTGAGAGTGAACATCCGCTGACATGGAAGCTCACTAGTACTCATGGCTGGTTGCAGAGAACGGGGAGCCAGAAAGTGGGGAAGAGATGTACTTCTTAGCCTCCAGGGAGAGGAGACACCTGCCTGGCTGCACCCAGAACATCAGTTTCAACAAAGCTGGCTGCTCAACCCTTCTTGTTATCAGAGTTACCTCTGTAATTAAAATGTAAAGAATCACATTCAGGTTTTCCCCAGAAAGTCTTATTATACGAGTAATAAATCCAATAAATCCTCTGGGGTGGGGGTGTGTGTGGATAGTCACATCCAAGCTTCACGTGTCTCCACCATGGCAACATGCTGGGGGATGCTCAAGGTTAACCCTTAGCCACGAGTACCAGGTGGGCCGAGGCAAGGCCCTAAGCATTCCAGATACATTTGCTCACGCTGAAAGACAGCAGTGTGTCAGATTGCTCCATCTCTAACATTCCTTCCAGGTGGAAAGTCTAGGGTAGGAAAGTCCTTTAGAATATCATGGCGTCTACTCTCCTTAAGAGAGAATAAAAACATCTACTGAAAACTTACATTTAAAAGAACTGTGATCCTGTTTGTTAAAAGACACTAATGATCCAAGACCTATTAGAGAGCCACCTCTCTACACTTGCCTGGAGGTTCAGAGTGTTTCTGAGGTCTGTTTAAACACTAATAGAATTTTAGGCCAGCATCCAGGCAGAAGAGATGGTTCACAGACACAGATACTTGGAAGCAGATTTAAAAAAACACACAAAACCCCAAACCAACAGATGTCGACATATAAAATAATGATGCAGTTTAGTTTCGGAAAAAAAAAATCACACCTATAAGTACAGTCAGAAAAATTCACACATGAAAGAGGTTGTTTGTATAGCAAGGCATTACTGCCCTACAGCCTGGCAGAGAAATATAAACTCAGGTGCATATTATATAATAAACATGATAATTGAGAGTCACTAAGAACGATATACTGTGGAACATCCCAGGAAGTGATTTACTTCCTTATAAATCATGCCACTTGCTTAGACAAGTGAAATTCCAAGTTCTTTTTCTTCTCCCACATGAAAAACACCAGAAACAAGGAGCTTCTGCTATAGCAAGTTCCTCAGGATACAGTTTGTGGATCCACAAAGATGCAGACTGTGACAGTAACGACACACACCAGCTCCCTTCTCTCATAGAGCCCACTCTTGTGTTGAGTTTTACAGGGTAGACTCAGTCCATCTAAAAGATCTCTTCTGGACACCAAGCCATGTCAGTTAAAAATTGATCATCACTGAACAAATGTGAACTAAGAAGGGGTAGAACCAGGAGATTATCTATCTATCTATCTATCTATCTATCTATCTATCTATCATCTATCTATTCTATCATCTAACTTATTGCCAACTCTTAGAGACCCTATGAACAACAGATCAGAGTCCTGCCCTACCCTGCACCATCATCACAATCTCCATCTTGCTCAAGCCTTGCTGCAGAAACCTTGTCACTTCTGCTACTTTTCTCATTATTCATCTGATGCATCTCCTCAATATTGTGAGCAACACTGTGACAGTTTTTTTATCATTGCACCTTGTTCCAAGATCTGGCTTTACAATGAGCATTCCTGAACTTCATGTTATTCTTTCCCCAAAGGCCATGCCTTTTTCTCAAGAAGTGAGACTCAAGGTTCACTGCTCACAATCCTGGAGGCGATCAGACTGTAAGTTCTCTGAGGATCTGCCCAGCCTGCCCTGGACAGAACTCTGTCCTCCCCTGGAAGTCTGAATTACTTCACTTTGACAATCTTTCAAGTTCTAATTTCTAAGGTCTGGAACAGGAGAAGATGGGGGGTCTTTCTTCTCTACGAATGACTGCTGGTTTGTGGACCCTGGCTCTCAGACAGGGGTTTCTGTATTTTAGGTCAGGCTGTCCTCCGAGGACTAGCCAGCAGAGTTCTGGAGACAAGTGCCCAGGAGGCAGGAATTTTGCCCTTTTAGTCATTCTACTATGTGAGGCTCTAGCCATGTTTACCAGACACCATGTGGTGCTAGCACAGCTGTGTCGATGGGGACCTTCCCGTTGTCCCCACACAACCCACAACAACAGAGACTTTCCATGTCTAGTCCTTTCTCTCTCCTTCTCCACCTGCCATTTCCTTCTTTATTTTCTCCCTCTAATCAAAGAGGAGCACAATGTTGGCTTCCTTTTCCCTTAAACCTCTTCCTTTACTGTGTCCTGTAACTCCTCCACGGACCCCAAAGCAGCTGGGCACCATCCTGGTAAAGGCTTTAGAAACCTGTAACCCTTATACTTGGAGTGGGAATCACTAGGGTGGTGAAAACAGTTAAGCATTTGTCTAACACCTGAAAGGCTGGTGGTTTGAGAACCCTCAAAGGCACCTTGGAAGAAAGGCCTGGTGATCTACTTCTGAAAGGCCACAGTCATAAAAACCTATAGAGGGTAGTTCTACTCTGAAACCCACAGGGTCCCCGAGTCGGAACTGACTTGATGGTAACTGCTGTCACATGGGTACTTGAACATAGAGCTCAATTTGCTGGTAATTCTGATCTGACCATCCATACCAGGCACATTTCAGGGACTGCAAACCTGAAGATGCTAGGGGCTTCCACCAACTCTGCACAAGGGGCAGAGGTTTATGGTTGGTGGGAGGCATGGAGGCATGAATGCCTAAGCCTAAAAATGCCCTCAGTGTCATCAGAACCCAGGACAGACCTGACTCCACCCCACACACTCCCGTAAGGAAGCTGGGAACGCTTGGGAAAAACTGACTGAACCAGAGAGGAATTAGCTTCTCATCACAGTCCTGCTTTCTCAGTGTGAGGTTGGCTCTTGCAGAGACAAAAACCCCCAAATAAAAAACAAAACAAAAAAAATCCAAAAAACCCACAGCAAACAAAAACCCCATGAAAAACAAACCCCAGTTATCATGATGGGTTCTGGCTCTCCAAAATGCAGCCCTACCTGGCAAAATCCTTAATATTTTATGCATCTTATTAGAAAGAACTTAATTTCCATTTCATTTTCTTCTAAAGGACTGACAGCAAAAAGGAAGATTGAACACCACCAATGACCTAGGTACTAACATCACCAAGTCCAGCGAGCTGACTTGGGATTCATGTGGCCTCTGAATGCTGGGACCTGGGCGGTTCATGATACAGCACAAGGGTGTGAAGATAACTAGTATCATCCTGACCGCATCCTGAACTGGCCCCTTGCTTTGCAGGGGCTCTGCCATCCCCCTCCTCTTCTTGATCACGTATCTTCAAGGTTCAAGCTGTCTAGACACACTGTTTCCCAGCATGAAAAGGATAAAAATCCCATTTCTGTTTCTAGTGTTTATGAAGGGCATGCACGGTGGCAATTTATTTCCCCCCACCTTCCAACTTAAAAAAAAAAAAAACAACTGCAAAAGTATGTACATTGTTGTAGAAAAGCAGTGCTCGATGAAAAGTGAAAAAGACAGAAACAAACCCATCCCTCACCTTCCCAGAAATACCTGACAATTACCTCACTAGCTTGGAGATTTCAGTCTGTCCCCTCCCAACGTCCCCAGAGGGATACTTAACGACCCAACCCACAAGGGAGCTCAGGAACCTTCTCTCCCTGTGTGGCTGGGCTGCTGGCTTTATTTTACCACCTTCCAAAGAAGCCCTGACTCAAGTTGACTAAATTTTGATGCTGGACATAAAGAAAAGCACGTTCTTTCCAACCCATGAGCTGAAAGGCACCAACTTCAGAAGATACCTAAGGAGCTCAGAGAAGCAGGAGGAGTGGGAACAGGGAAGTCTTCACAGCTTTGCAGATCCCTAATTCTCTTTTCTGAAACGAGGATGTCTTTGGGACTGTCTTTAATTGTCTCTTGGTTTCCCCAGATGAGCTCCTCAGAAGACGAAAAGGTCATGGCTTTGGGGCTGTTCTATGAAAGAGAGAACTCCCAAGAGGGGCCTGTTTCCCTAAAAGCCAAGTTCTATGAGGATTGCTTCTAACGTCTCTTTCCACTTTAAATCACTTTTTATAGCGATGAAACGTACAAGCAGAGCGGACGCTGCCTACTAGACAAGGTGCTTTGTCACAGAGAGCGCTGCGTGTTTTCCGAGGTAGACTATTGTGTGGTATCTTTGAGATAAGGCCCTAAATGCCAGGCAGGTTTACAACAGGGGTGCTAGTTTTGCTTTTTCAAAACGAACATAAAATCAGAACCGAAAGCCCAGGAATTTCCATACTAGTTGTAGTTCTTGTCTTTCCTTTTTCTTTTTAAAATATATACAAATATTCACATTGTAAACAAAGCTTTCTATGTCCTGTATTGGAGTTTAGCTTCTTTCTTCCACATCTCTAGGGAAATGATAAAGGAGTTTTCAGTGGACACACAGAGAATTCCATTTTCACTGCTGAAATAAAATGCCTGCCCTTATAGTCTGGCTAGCTAACCATTAGGGAAAAAAAAAAGTTTATTTACAGTATTTCTGCTTTTCCATGCCAATTCTACTGAGCAGTCCATATTCTCAAACATTTAGTCGTCCAATCAATCAGCAACTTCATCTCTGTCCTCCAAAGTCTTCTCATCCACCTATCTGAGGAGCTTTGAGCTAATGTAGAAATGGATGGAAGAATCCTGCTGGCACAAAGGTTAAGCTTGGCTGTTAACTGAAAGGTCAGCAGTTCGAACCCACCAGCCACTCCTGGGGAGAAAGATGCAACAGTCTGCTTCTGTAAAGATGCACAGGGTTTCTTGGAACCCTATGGGGCAGGTCTAACATCCAGGACTGCTCTTAATCAGAATTTGATTTGACAGCTGTAGTTTTGGCTTTGCTTTGTAGAAATGTACACTATTTACAAACGAAGCATCCGAACTCCGGACTTCCAACTATCCAATCAGCAAGGAACCTTCTGGAGTCAGAACTTGAACAAGTTGATAAAGTCCTGGGGTGAGAGCGAGACGGAGCAGCTCTCAGGGTTATTGGCCGTGCATGGATGGTCGGTGCCCTGGAAAGGAACAGAGACGTTAGGTTTGAGTTCTCAGAGACCCACTCCCCTGTCCCCTGATTTTTAGCACCCCAAGGCATTATCCAATGTTAATACAACATTCCTGGGCCAAGAATGTGGCAGGGCTGGAAAACAAAACAGCTTTGTGTGTTTATGTGTGTGTGCATACACACCTGTGAACATGGGAAAAGAAGCTGGGAGTGGGCGAGGCACTGGAGGAAAAGAATTTTTGCCTCCCATATGGGAGGTTTGATTTCTGGCCAGCGCACCTGAAGTGTAACCACTGTCCATGTCTCAGTGGAAGCCCGAGTGTGGCTGCGATGCTACAGTTTCAGTAGAGCTTCTAGACTGAGACAGGCTAGGATGAAAGGCCTGGAGGCTCACTGCCCCAAATCAGGCACTGAGAACCTTATGGGTACAGTGGTCTGGTCCACAACAGGTCACCATGAATTGAGGGCCGATGCACAGTTAGCCATCAGCAACAATGAGTTGCATGTAGAAATGAATTTTGTAATAAGAAACAGATTCAGGTGTTCGAAAGTGTCTCTCAGCCTCTGGATGAGTTGAGACGATGAGAAAGATTTATGGGAAAGAATCTGGTGCTGCATCTTAAGCCTTGGTGGCCAGCAGGGCAGGAGGCAGCCTCCTCAGAGACACATACACACCTTCCAGGAAAGGATGTGGCAATGTCTGCAGAGTTGAAGGGTGTCCCCGTACTGCTCCTTCCTTGGATAACACCGGATAAGTTTAAAATACATCTTCTTCCAGTCCAGCTGCCCTTTGTCAGACAAGATTAGTCGCTTGCGAATCTAAACAGCAAATGAATAGAAAGGCTTAGGGTAGAGTTCACCAACGAGGTAGTGTATGGTTTTCTGGTTCTGAAATGTTCTGACCCTGCTTCTATTTTATCTCTGCCTTATAAGTGTTGTTGTTGTTAGGTGCCGTCTCATAGACAGCGATGAACAACAGATCTGAATCCTGCCCCACCCAGCGCCATCTTTACCGTCACTGACATTCTCAAACCTATTTGTAATGTCTTGTGTCAATACGTCTCATTGAGCATCCTCCTCTCTTCCTTTGATGTCTTTTTCCAAGGAGTGGTCCCTCTATGACTGTTATGTGCCATTGAGTTGCCTGCAACTCGTTAGCAACCATATATACAATAGCTCTGAACCTGGCCCTCTCCTGAGCCTGTCTCATTGACTCTGATGCCCCAACTGACAATCAGGTCCCTCTATAGCAGGGGAAAAAAACCCAGTCAAGACATACAGAACTACCTTCTTGGTTCTCTCCAGTTAATCAGTAGTTTGAAACCAGTCTTTAAAAGTAAGAGGTAGCTGGTGACATCTTATTAGTGACGCCTACTCCTTGAAGGGTGAGATGACCTCAGTTAGCAATTTCAGTCTTTTCTCTGCTATAGACAAGAGTATTTCCAAAGAGAGGGAGTCACTGCTTGGCACTGTGGTTCTAGTTTATGTCTAACTATTAGCAGCTTCATGAAAACAACTTGTGGAAGTAACATATCTAAATAAAGAGGCTGGGGAGGGGGGAGAAACCCAGCTCAAACCAAAACCACCTCTGAGGCATCATGATAAATGGAAACAAGCCTAAGGTTGGTGTCACAAGGGCCAAGTTCAATGTCAAGGTTAGTTCCCTTGCCCTGAGAGCAGCTTGACAGTTTGGATGTATCTCAGCCATCTGTGGTCTCTTCATCTGGTTAACGTGGACATGGCGGCTTCTCCTGTCACTCGGCTGTCAGAATAAAGGGAAGCAGGGTCTGCAGAAGTACTTTCACTGCAAAGTTCCATAAAGAGTAAGCGATTTTGTTACAGGGAAAAGGGCCTGGTGCCAATGTATTTTTTTTTTCAAGTTATGAAATGTGAATATGGTTGTGTTCTATTTTTGGTTTGGGTTTTTTTTTTATTTTATAAAATCCCCCACACACTACCCTCTTTGATTATTTAGGAACTCTGTGGACTGTCATTTGTCAGTTAAACCAGCAGAGCAGGTACCCACTTCACTTGTTCTGGAAGGACGCTCAGGAAGCTTGCAGGTTAAGGCGGGGAGGGGAGCGGGCACGGAGGGCACTGCCCACCCACCTGCCGCTCGGAGAAGTGGTACTGGCACAGCCTCTTCCACAGCTGCCGGTCCTCGCTGAGCGTGTGCAGGTCCGGGGCCGCCTGGCCCAGGCTCACCAGATCCCGGCCGTCACTGAGCCTCTGCATGATGTTCAGTTGTAAACACAAGGGCAGGTCGGTGAAGGTGAGGCCTTTGAAGGCAGGCTACAAGAGAAGGAAGGGGAGGAGTTGAGGGGTGTGCAGAAGTAAGAGCCATTCACCTGGAGAGACCACCCCCGAGATATGGCTGCACCCTCCCTTTCCACTGGAGGCGATGTGGAAGGGCAAGCAACACAAGGCTGGGACTCAGTTTCTCCTTGTGCAAAATGAGCAGTTTCAGAAGACTTAAGATCCCTCCCTCCCTCCCTGCTGTAATGACTGAACTTGGAGAGGCCTGAGTTCCTACTTCACCACCAGCGTCTGACCAGACAGTTGATGCTGCCTTGAAGAGTGCCCTGGGGGCCGGTCCATAGGGAGTTCACTGCTAACCAAAGATGGTGCCTCTCCGGTGGTTCAAATCCACCAGCGGCTCCAAGGCAGAATGACAGATGATTTCTTCTTGCTGCTGTAAACTACTGCATCAGCACTGACTCACAGCTGCCCTTCCAGCGGGATTTCAGAGGCAGTATAATGGCATAGAATTTGGAAGCAGGAGTGGCATCCACTTCCGAAATGGCTTGCCTCCGGAAACTCTATGAACGTGGAGAAACGACCAAAGTTATTCAAGTGTTCAGGTCTTTTGTTCATAGGGTCACTGTGAGTCGTCTATAACTCGACGGCACTTCACAACACAACAACAACAAAGTCGCATAGGAGGAGACTGCCCATCTTTCTCTCACAAAGCAGCTGGTGAACTTGAACTGCAGGCTTTTGGGTTGCAGTTCCGTTCCTTACCACTAGGCCACCAGTGGTGTGATTTATAGCCTCAAAAACCTGTTGGAGGGTCGCTGTGAGTTGACTAGACGGCAGTGAATTGCATACTGTAAGGAGCGCTGGGGGGTGGGCGGCAACAGTGAACAATCAGCTGTTCCCCACCCAGCGGCTCCTTGAGAGAATGACTGGTGATTTGCTCCTGCAAAGACGATAACCATAAACCTCCCAGGGCTAGTACTGCCCTGTCCCATGGGGTCCCTGTGAGTGGGAATTGACTCAACAGCCCCCATAAGCAACAACAACGCTTCCACCTCAGGCCATCTGGCTGGACTTTCGATCCTGGACTTTCAATTCCAGAGTCTGCCAGACGGCCGCAGGCCCGAGACTTCTTTGTCGTTTATTATCTGCTGCCGGTCATCCGAGCTAATAAAACTGCCATGAGATTTCTCTTTTTTGTTTCAAGCACTTCAAAGCATCTACTTTTTTGGTTAAAACTCTCAGGCCGATTATTCTATTAACTCCCATTAAAGGCAGGCCCGCTTGGCGGAGACCAGCGCTGTCAAATTCACAAACCTGAACTTTTCCAAACTCCTCGCCCAGACCCCATGCTGAGCCTGGCCTCCAGAACAACAGTTAACTGCCTGAGTGCTCTGTTCAAGTCAAACAGAGAGGATCCTTAAAAAAAAAAGGACATGCTTGTTTAAACCCTCAGGATACCGGTCTCATAGGAGTAGGCAAGCCAACAACTGGCAATCTAAAAGGGGGGATAACAGGGCAGGAGACATGAAGTAGCTGGTTTATATATTTTCACAAATGTAGTTGCTGGTGGGTTGACTGTAAGGGGGAAACACTCCCTGCAAGATAAATGAGTAAAATGCAAATGAAAGACTGTGTGGAACACCATGAATGAATGAAACACAGTGTATACAAATGATAAAAATACTAATAAAAAAAAGTAAAAGAAGAGACCATCCTTATTCCTCCTCTAAATGAGCATTCGAGTAAAATCCAGCGATGTCCCCATACTCTTCAACGCACTTCCAAATGCTACCTCCCACCCAGTGCTGGGATGTACATCTAGTGTTCTTTTCTACAAATGCTTGAGTTTTTCTACTAGGCTCTGGTGGCTGAGTGGGTATGGAGTTGTGCTGCAAACCCAAAGGCAGGCAGTTGGAATCCACGAGCTGCTCCGAGGAAAAAAGGTGGGCAATGTCCTCGTGTGTGATTATAAAGCCTCTGCAAAACCACTGCCGGTTCAGCTGGAGTTGGTCCAGACTTGACAGCACGTAACAGCAACAGCCCCATCCTTTACTATACTAATCATTCATGCTAATAAAAATTGCCTCTATGGAATTAGATAGGGACATTTTGAAGGGACATACAATGATCTTTTAAGATTTTGCTAGAACCCAGGCACATGCTATAAATGTCAATATTTCCATGCCATATATCCTTTTTAAAATTTTTCCCCCATTTGATCAAACTGCTAAAGAGTAAGTTTGTTGCTTTTTAAAAAAAATTGTTATTTATAATTTTTTGTGGTGTGCTGTCAAAGTAGATCTGACAGGTTCAGGAGGAGATTGTCCCTCCTTCTTCAGCAGAGCATCTGGCTTTTTTTTTAAAGATAAGTTTTAATATATGATAAGAGTGAAGTAACTGAGTCCTCTCTCTGGTTCCTTCTTTCCTTGGGAAGGGTGAACCTTTGTGTAAAAGGCTCACTGAATGCCTATGCTGCTCTCAAAAGAATATAGCCCAGAGCTGAGGAGTGCTGGGAGGGAGAACAGTTCAAGGAGTCATTCGTCATAGTCAAAAGCCCATGGACACAGACCTGAGATTAATCCCTGAACTACAACTCACAGGCCACCAGCCCACCCCCCACTGCTACCAACTCATGGCCTTGGCTTTGTGGCTGGAAATCTTAATTGGAGCATCTTCTTCCCTCAGAGTGCCTCGTGGGCTTGAACCAACAACCTTTCTGTTAGCAGCACAATGTAATGCACTACACCATACAACCATAGGTGTTTGAACTGCCAGCCTCTCACTTAGCACCCTGGAGTTTTAACCACAGTGCTACCAAAGCTCCTCAGTACTTAGCCTCTAAAACACGTATGCCGCAATTCAGCTTCTGACTCGGAGCCGCCTTCCACGGACGTTGCACGAGAGGAGACTGCCGACCCTTTGGCTAGCAGTCCAGCACTTAGCCATGACCAGATTCTGGCCATCCATAAGTCAGGGCAATACTTGCCAATTGTGAGCCTCTGGACATGAAACAAGTACTTTAGGTGCGCAGTGTGAGTGGGCTCACCTTCAAACATTCATTAAAGTAAAACGCAAGGCTGACTAGTATTCTGTACTAGGTTCTGGGGACAGAGCAGGGCGTGCGATGGGTAGCCTCCTTGTCCTTAAAGATTGAATAAGCCAGTGGGATGGTTACAGTGAAGTGACTACACCTCAGAGGCGACTTCAGATCATACCAGGTGCTCTGCAGGTGCTGTGATAATGACTTCATGAGACATGAGACTGGATGGTGAGGGAGGCTGTGGGGAGGTGTCATTTGGGTGGTGTCTCGGAGTGAAGCAGCCAACAGTGCACACGTGAGTGGAGAGATGTTTGCAGGGTGAGCAGAGGGAACAGCAAGCCTAACGGCCCCAAGGCAGGAGAACTCTGGGAGCTTAGAGCACACGCAGCAAAGGCCAGCTTGGAGGGGGAGCTGCGAGCCAGGGCCTGGGACGGCTTCAGTGTCGAATCCTTATTGCATGGGATTTTATTGGATTAAAAGGGTTTAGAAAATGCTGGATCACAGGATGAAAAGTTGGAAGACATCTGGATTTAAAAAAAAATCTGGAAGCCACTGAAGTTAAGAAAGCCTTGCCATTTTAGGAAGAAGGAGTCTAATGCTTCTGGCCCTAAATACTAGGACAGTCTTTGTGGTGTGTGCCCCCAACCTAGTCCCACAGCATTATAGGGGAACAACCTCGATAGTGGCCACTTGTTAACAGTGTTTGTGGACCAGCTAACGGGGACAGTGTGCAAGTTCAAGATTTGGGGGCAGGTGTGACCAGGGGGCCAGAGAGGAGAGCGGAGGGAAGTCTGACCATCTAAATGCATATGCCAAGAGGCTAAAAGGAGGGTGGCTTTGGAACAAATGGGGCTTGACTGTTTCTATCGCTGACTGGCTGCTTCTTTGTTGGCCTTGAGGAAGACGGTAAATATAAAAATCAGGGAAAGGCTGAAATCTTGTAGGAAGTGTCAGCGGACTTTTCATGAGAGATAAACTGGGAACCTGGGTCTCAAATTCACATGTATAAACTATGCCCACACATGAAAGATGGAACTGAGTGCATTGTATGGGTAAATCAGACAAGTGTTCACTGCCAACACTCATTCTCTTCAAATAAACTGAATCACCAGGGCACACCTTCAGAGCCTGCTGGGGGTGTGTGTGTGCGCGCGCGTGTGTGGGTGCATGCATGCGGAGCAGTTAATAGGAAGAAGGGGACCCGAACGTAGGCCCCGTGACTGCAAGAAAGTCCACTGTTTCCTCTGATTCGAGGTTTAAAAAACAAAGGCACAAGAGACGTTACTAATCTGAAACTTCAGGACACTCATTTTGAAGTCTATCTAGTAAAAGAAAAAGGATTTAAAAGCGGTCAAAGGACTTCTAGTGGCCTCTGCCTGGGTATTATCAGCCCGTCTGGAAACCACTGGAGATTAGATACGGGAGGCAGGTGCTAAGTGAGCCGTCCAAGAGCAGCTGTCTGTCAGTGAGCCTGTCGCGACTGCACCAGAATCTTTCTCAATTTTTTTTTGGTTGGCCTTCCTTTCCCTGCTCCCTAAGACAACAGCGTGTGCAGGAAGCCCAACAGTGCTGATAGAGACAGTGTTGCTTAGCTGAGAATCCTGGGTTGTGCTGTTTCCTTGATTTTGCTTTGAGTCTGACCTGCTTATCTCTTTCCTCCATATGCATTCACAGGCTTGTTAGTCAAAGGTTCCCTCTGTCACAAGGACCAGAAAGTAGAACTAGAATCTGGATATGCTGGTACCAGTTCTCTAAGCCATGACCACGCCAGCTGTATTGTATTTGAGACAGCCTGCTGAAGGTAGAAAGGGTCTCTGCTAGTGTAATGGTGAAGTAACCTAAAAGTCAGTGGTTCAAACCCACCAGTGCTCTCCAGGAGAAAAGTCCTGGCCTGTTGCTTAGTCCTATAAAGATGAGCCTAGAAAATGAAGAGGCAATTCCACTCATTCCATAGGATTGCTGTGAGGTTCCCTGGTGGTGCAGTGGTTAAGGTACTCAACTGCTGGGTGGTTCGAGCTCACCAGCAGCCACTCAGAGGGAGAAAGATGTGGCAGTATTCTTCTGGAAAGATCCACAGCCTTGGAAACCCTATATGACAGTTTGACTCTGTCCTACTGGAACAGAATCACTGTTGACCTCCAGGGGGTCATCAGGACAGTAAATCACATGGGAGGAGAGTGACCATTTTCCTCTCATGAAGCGGCTGGTCAGTTTGAATTGTAAGCCTCTGGATTAGCAGTGCAACTCCTGACCACTGAGTCGCCAGAGTTCCCTTGCACGGTTGCTAGGAGTCACAGCTGACTTGATGGCAATGGGTTTGATTTGGTTTGAGTAAAGGAAAGAAAAAAACCCAGGAAAAAAAAATTTAGTAGTACAGTCAGCATGGTCCCAAATGCTAAGGTTTCAACACTCCCATGATGTCCCAACCCTATATATACTTTGATCCTACTTTTCTTTTGCATCCTTTCTTTATCTGGAAGCGTCCCACACCACTCTGACCACCCAAACAGAGCATCATCAGACCAGAACAGTCCTGGTTTCTCATCATTCCAGGGACATTAAAGCTCTGGGGAAGTGCCGGCTCCTCTCTGGGGACTGGATGGATCGTGTCCCTTTGGAAGGAGACTTGGAGGCCGCTCACCCGTGTGATCTGGATGTTGTTCAGCTGCTGCTGCCAGTGGAGAATCGTCTCCATCCGATACACCCACATGTTGATGTTCCCAACCAGCACAGACTTGCCAACTCTCTGGACCAGCGTGCAGAGAGACGTGTAGAGAGTCTGCAGTAGTTCTCTTATGAGCCGGATGTTTTGCTGGTCTTCAAGGACTAGGGTGAGCAAGGAAAACAAAACAAACAAAACAAAAGAATGTCGAGATGCTGGAAGACACTGCAGTTTTCAGGTGGGCTTTTCTTCATTTCCATTCTGTGTGTGTGCCCTGGGCTCTGACTCTGGGGACATGGTTCTCTTTCTCTCAGATATTTATTAGAGAGTTGGCTGAGCTCCTGCACTTGTCCATGGCTGGAGTGTCCATTATCTGGGTCCCTCTTTGTTCTCTCTCCCCACTTTCTCTAGAGCCTCAGTCTGTGTCATTGTTCCACCAGCACTGGTGGCTCACCTGATCTGAATGCTGCAAGCTGGGGGGGGGGGACCTGCAACTGGGGCCTGGAGACAGGGTTCTAGTCCAGTTGGCCTGATTCTATGAGATCATGGGCAGACCTCTTTCTATCATGAGCCTCGGTTTCCCCTTGGTATAATGACTCGGTTGAACCAGAGACACAAGGTTCTTTCTAGTTTGAAGAGTCTGAGAATCTCTCCTGCCTTCTACACAGCTTGAGTTTCTTGGAATTTGAAATCTCGAGGCTCAGAAACCAAGGCTGGTGGATGCTCCTATAGTGTGAAGCTTGGGAGACTCACAGCAGGGCAGGTGACCGACCCCAGTGCAGGAACAAGAGGGGGACAGTCCCATGCTCTGGGCACCACGTTCTGAATTGGGATCTGGCACCCCTGAAATGCATCTGGAGTTATTCCATCCCACCCACTCCCATGCTTTTTAACCAAATGCCATGTCCACACTATTGGATGACTGGAATCCCGTCCGTCTGCCTAGAAAAAGGGGTGAAAGAGCAAGAGATAAGGTTCACCTTTTAATACCACTTTTTCCAAAATGTTCATGAAGTTCTTTTGGGCGATGCCACTCAGGGAGGTGAGCTGAGACTTCGCTATCAGTTCTAACAGCTGTGGATAAAAATAGAAGTTTCCAGGTTTAGAATACAGAGACATTTCTCCCTTCTAATCTTCACTTGTGCGTCACATGACCTGTAGATACAGGCTGGGAGGGGTGTTGGCAGGTGGTGGTGGGGGGAGATAAAGGCAAGCAGAACCCCAGAGCAAGAAAAAGCAGGTGCTCAACTTGAAGGGGTGAATGAGCATAATTCAAAACCCAGGAAGCAGGCTGTTTCGTGCTCCCCCCACCCCCCCCTTGCAACATAAAGAGTCTGGCTTCAGTTAAATATTCCACTTGTCCTACTTTAGGCAAGGGGGACTGACATACTCTGAAGGGAAGAGAACCTCAGATGACCTGGGAAATGTTTGACTTCTGCATAATCACCCCCAGCAGTGAGTCCTCTGCCCCCACATGAACCTCTTTACCTTTGGCACTGCCTGCTCCCAAGGCACCAACCAGCTCAAACTCGGCAGTGAAGTGCCAGGCTTATCCACAGAACGTTCACGTACTACATTCAGTAAATATGTCTAATAATTAGACTCCCTTTTCTGCACTTTCTGGAGAAAAATCCAATTGCAGAGAGAGAGAGGCCATTCAAGGAAGCATACAGTATATCTGGAGTCATTGGACGCTACAAGTGTTTAAAAGGTTGGAGGTTTGAGTCTATCCAGAAGCACCCTGGAATAAAGGTCTGGTGATTTTGGAAAAACCACTGGAAATCCTATGGAATACTGCTCTGCTAGGACATATGGTGCTTTGTCAGGAGTTGGAACCGGTCAACTTGATGTCAACTGGTTTGCAGCTCCAAGGGAGATAGATGGGCATCTCTTCCCATGTAATTTACAGCTTAGGAAATCCAATGGAGGGGCAGCTATGATTTGGTTCAGACTCAATAGCAGTGAGTTGAGTGTATGTACATATTTCTAGTTGTCACTGTTGTTAAGTGTCACTGAGTCGACTCATAGCGACCCTAAGAACTCTGGTCTATCCTGGACCACCCTCATCATGTTTGATATACTGGAGCCCACTGTGTCAGCCCATCTCACTGAAGGTCACCTTCTCTTTTGCTGACCTTCCACCTTTCCAAGCATGAGGTCTTTCCCCCCCCCCCAAGGACTGGCCCCTCCTAACATGATGCAAGTATGTGAGATGAAACTTCGTCATCCTCACCTCTTAAAGAATCACGGTGGCTAAGGGTTCAGGTTCTTGTAGCTCTTTGGCTTAAATGCAAGTCTGATTTAACCACTTACTGGTTTTGTGGCTATGGAAAACTCCATTGCTTATGCCCCAGTCTCTTTGTATTTACACTGCAAGTACCCAAGGCTGTTGTGAACGTTGATGGGATGCACACACACCAGGAACACAGTGCTTCAATGAATCAGGTGCTGTCTAAAGATCAGTTTAAGAAGGGAGCTCTAGTGGCTTAATGGGTAAGGAGTTGTGCCGCAGGTGGTTCGAATCCACCAGTTGGTCCTTGGGAGAAGGAGAGGCAGTCTTCTCTCTTGTACAATTTGCAGCCTCTGAAAACTTGCTGGAGGGTCAGCTCTGAGTTGGTCTTGACTTAACAGTAATGAGTTTGAGTTTTGTTTATTTAAAGCAGCCTATCTCTCACCTACTACCCTTCCCCATTCCCAAATGAAAAGAAATAACGATAATAAATTAGGTTGGTGTCTTCTTAAGCTAATCTTTCTTCCATTCTGTTATGTGGCAAGATTAAAAAAACCCAACAAAACAACTGAAGAATATGCTGTTGAAAAAGAAAGCTTTCGATTTTAGAGACCATCTTATTCTACCCACTTTACAGATGAGCAAAAAGAGGCCCCAAAGGCTACAACATTACCAACTATCCAACACTTGAAAAGGGATCCAACAATGTCCTCAACACAGGAAAGAAAATGGGGACACTTCATGTCTTATCAAACTCAACCCCATCCACTGTCATGGAGTCAGTTCTGACTCAAAACAATCCACTGAGTTTCCATATGGCATTGTACTGGGTACTGGCCCATGACCAAAACCCCCAAGTAAATCAGTGAAATGAAATGGTAAAAAGTTGAGATGTGGAGTCTAGGAATTGCTGCATCAAAGCCCCTGCAATTCAGAACGTCTGTTTCCAAGGCATAAGTTTAAAAAGGCTCTTCCCGTGGAGCCCTCTAGGAGGCTGTAAACCTCTTATAGATTTAGAACTTCTTGGACTTTTTTTTTTACTGTTGAATATATACATAGCGAAACACCAATTGAACAATGTCTGTACGTACAATTCCGTGATTTTGGTTTACACTCTTCAAGTTTTGCTACCTTCTCACTCTCCTTTTCCAACCTGTTCATCCCTCATTAACATAAACCTGCTGCCCATCAGGACTTCTATCTGACTCTTCAGGTTCCTGTTTTTCATTTGATAGGCTGTTAACTGCAGGGTCAACTGTTCGAATCTGCCAGGCGCTGCATGGGAGAAAGAAGGGTAAACCTCTTCCCTTAAAGATTTACTGTCTTGGAAATTTGATGGAGCGTTACCTTGGGTTGAAATTTGCTGCATGACAAGGAGGGTTTTTTTGGGGGGTAGATCTTCTAAAAAGCACAATGCTCACGGCACAATACTCTTTACTGCTTAGATTAAACTATTACCTTATTTAAATGAAACTATTGTTTGGCAAACAGTAGTTTTAGTTTAAGGTTTAAAGATTAGCTCAGAACAATAGTGTCAGGGGTTCATCCAGCCTCAACAGTTTCAGACACAGGGGGAAAAAAAAAATGTGACTTGACATTAGAAAACAAAACCAATTCAGAACCATTTCCTGTGTGGTTTAAGCATCTCTCACACAAGCAGAGAGAGACATGGTTGTCTGAATGGGAGGAAGTGAGAAAAAGCTAAGCCTCACTAGTCACCATTTGTTCTAGGGCCCAAGGTTAGGAGTCAGCTAGGCTGGGTGCCTGAGAGGCTGAGGGTACGCTCACAGGTGATGACCTCACAGGATGCCGCCCCTGCCTCTCTGGATCAGCTCCGCCACCAACCAGCACATGACAGTCAGGAGAGCAGAGAGAAACAGCCGAAAGGGCTTTGCCAAACCATCCATCTATCTCCCTGATCAACAGCGAGAGAGTCAGGAGGCCAAGGCCAGGAGCTATTAATACTCCAAGCCTCTCACAAAGCGGGATGAAAGAAAACAAAGCCTCCAGCGGCTCTGAGCTCTGCATGGTGACTCACCAGCGGGTGGGAGGAGGCTCAAAGGCCTGGGAGGAGGGAGCATGAAACCCATCCCCAAACCAGGTCCCATGTGACCACCATCACATGAGGGTGTCTGTTTTCATCTGGTCTAAAAATGCACCAATCACAAGGGCTAGAGAACACTTGGCTGTGACTGTGCATTTGAGGGGGTCACCAAAGTCCTTGGGTCTGAACTGAAATTTTTGCTGTGACTAAGAAGGAGGAAGAGGCAGGGGGGAAAAATGCAGCAACAATTTGTCAATCCAATGACACGTCAGGCCATCTCAGTGTGCGTAACTGCATCACGAGGAACAGCCCCTCTTCTCACTGCCAGGCAACTGTGGGGTCAGGAGAAAGAGCCAGAAGAGGAGGAGACGTGGATTCTCCAGCCGGGTGACCTTTCCAACTGTCATTCATTTAGAGATGGTCACTGAGTGTCCCCACTGTCCTGGCTTGTGACAGGTGATGAGGACACTGGGTCCCCAGACTCACAGAGTTTGCAGCTTAGTCTCTGGTGTACGTGTGACCTTTTTGAAATCTCAGTCTCTTCACTTCTAAAGTGAAAAGACAACATACTTCACAGGGTTGTGATGAGAGTTAAATGACAAATATTTGAGGATCGACGGTAAACACCAACTAGAAAGGACAGAGAGCTACTTCTGAGAAACCAGCCATTGAAAATCCCAGGGAGCACAGCTCCCCTTTGATGCACATGCTGTTGGCATGAACTGGAATCAACTCAACAACAACTAGTGGTATTCCAACCCCCAGTCTCTCAGTGGAGTTTACCAGGAGTCAGTAAGCTTTTTCTGTAAAAGATTAGATAGTAATGCTGTTGTGAACCATACAATCGTTTGTTTCAGCTTTCAGTTTTGCCTCTGTAGTACAACAGCAAAAAGAGACAAGAAGTAAATAAGTGGGCATGGCTGTGTTACAATTAAACTTTATGTACAAAAACAGATGGAGAATCCGATTTGGCCTTTGGGCCATAGTTTGCTAACCTCTGGCCTGTATTATCCAAGAGTGAGTGGGTTCCAGAGCTAGACTGCCTGTCTCAGTTATTCCATCTGTCAAATATGCAGAATAGTACTTACTTTAGAGTTGCTGAGTGCTGGAGGTGTTGGAATGCACTCAGGAGGTGCCTGGCACAAAGAATATGCTCAAGAAATTATTATCGTGAACTATACTGGCCCTGACGGGGAGCAGGCTCAGAAAGTGGGGCCAGAGGCCTGGGAGAAAGGGGACCTGTGATCTCCGGCCCCTCTCTGGCTGAGAGATATTTCCAGGACATAACCTCTGCCCTTGGGTAAGAGTTGATTTCCTCAGTTTACTTTGCTTGTCTTGTTCTGGTTCTGGGAGCTGTTCTTTCTGCCCTTATGCAGAAAAGCATCCATTTATCGATACCCTGCTCAAGCCTATGTCTTTGAACCTTCTGCACGCTCAGTGAATCTCAAACCTTAGTGCTCCCCTTCCACAGGTGGGTCTAGCTCAGACAGCCTCTGCTTGATTGCCTCCAATGACAGGGAGTTCTCCCCTTCTGTTGCTGGCTGGCGAGGTAAAATATTCCCTCTCTAAAGAATGTCAAACATTCTTCTAGGTGGTATAGCACTGGTCTGTGTGTTGCTGTACAGAGGTAACTCTTGTGATGCTGAAGACTGTGACAGTGATATGCCAATCGTGGTAATGGGTACCCATGGTGGACAGTGTTGGCTGGAGCTTCCTGACTAAAACAAACCTGGAAGCAGGAGCGGCATCCACTTCCAAAACGGCTTGCCTCCGGAAACTCTATGTATGAACAATGCTCAG